AACAGCGACCGCAAGTGTTAGAAAATGTTGAGAGACTGTTATTGGTGTGGATAAATGAAAAACAGATAGCAGGAGATAGCATCTCTCAAGCAATCATTTGTGAAAAGGCTAGGCAGTTGCATGACGATTTGGTAAAAAAATTGCCTGCAACTGGTGGTGATGTGAGTGAATTTAAGGCCAGCAAAGGTTGGTTTGAAAGATTTAAGAATCGTAGTGGCATACATAGTGTAATTAGGCATGGTGAGGCTGCCAGTTATGTTGTGCGACAGAGGTCAAGTGACTCTCAACCTGGTCCTAGTGGCATTAAAAGAAGAAGGGAAGTAACCCCAGAAAAGGATTTGCTACTCAAGTCCTAATGGAGGGGAATCCCCTTCTAAATGCTAAACCATCCACACTCTTCCTCCTCCTACCATCCCATCATTCTCACCAGATCCATTAAAGGTAAGTGTCAATTATCATTTGTATAAATTGCTGATTTATTGTGTATGTTGTTATGTAATTACTATTCTAATGCATTAACTAATATGTTCATGTGTAAAGTTTTATTTTGCATACATTTGGGTGATCTTGCATGGTATTGCCTTGATTCCATTATTTGCTAGGGGCAAAATTGATCTCGACTTTCCGATATTTTTGGTTAAGCGATGAGTCTCCAGAAGGATTGTACCGAAGTCCGGAGGGTCCCTTGTATATTGTAACACATAATCTATATAATAAATTATTAATATTAATATTCTTTATTAATTGTTAGGGCATGGAGCATAGTTATTGTATTAGCTACTATTGTTACTGGAATATTTATGGGTACAGGTATTTCATACTTTTGTCTGATGATTAACTTGATTACTGTACTCTTATGGAGAGAGAGATGAGATGGAAGTTTTTGAAGTTAAGAAGAGGAGAACGAGAGTTAGAAGGAGAGTCAGTATATGAAAGAATAAAGATAAGTGTATAGTTATAGAATATTATGAGAAGTAGGGCATGAGAGAAGATACAATGATAGCAGAGTCGGATTTGGGTACTGAGTAATTTATACAATGTAGAGATACGTATGACATAGTGATACATGTGAGAGAGAGTAAGAGAGAGAGAGATACAGAGAGAAAGAGAGAGAGAGTACAGAAGAGAGAGATCAGAGAGAGAGAGATACAGAAGAGAGAGATACAGAAGAGAGAGATACAGAGAGAGAGAGATACAGAGAGAGAGATACAAGAGAGAGAGATACAGAGAGAGAGAGATACAGAGAGAGAGAGATACAGAGAGTAGAGAGATAAGAGAGAGATACAGAGAGAGATGATACAGAGAGAGAAATACAGAAGAGAGAAGATACAGAGAGAGAGAGATACAGAGAGAGAGATACAGAGAGAGAGAGATACAGAGAGAGAGAGATACAGAGAGAGAGAGATACAGAGAGAGAGAGATACAGAGAGAGAGAATAGAAGAGAGAGAGATACAGAGAGAAAAGAGATACAGAGAGAGAGAGATAGAGAGAGAGAAGAGAGATACAGAGAGAGAGAGAGATAACAGAGAGAGAGAGGAGTACAGAGAGAGAGAGATACAGAGAGAGAGAGATACAGAGAGAGAGAGATACAGAGAGAGAGAGATACAGAGAGAGAGAAGATACAGAGAGAGAGAAGATACAGAGAGAGAGAGATACGAAGAGAGATGAGAAGAGAGAGATACAGAGAGAGAGAGAGAGATACAGAGAGAGAGAGATACAGAGAGAGAGAGATACAGAGAGAGAGAGATACAGAGAGAGAGAGATACAGAGAGAGAGAGATACAGAGAGAGAGAGATAAGAGAGAGAGAGATACAGAGAGAGAGAGATACAGAGAGAGAGAGATACAGAGAGAGAGAGAGATACAGAGAGAAGAGAGATACAGAGAGAGAGAGATACAGGAGAGAGAGAGAACAAGAGAGAGAGATACAGAGAGAGAGATATACAGAGAGAGAGAGATACAGAGAGAGAGAGATACAGAGAGAGAGAGATACAGAGAGAGAGAGATACAGAGAAGAAAGAGAGATACAGAGAGAGAGAGAATACAGAGAGAGAGAGATACAGAGAGAGAGAGAGATACAGAGAGAGAGAGATACAGAGAGAGAGAGAGAGATACAGAGAGAGGAGAGAGATACAGAGAGAGAGAGATACAGAGAGAGAGATACAAGAGAGAGAGAGATACAGAGAGAGAGAGATACAGAGAGAGAGAGATACAGAGAGAGAGAGAGATACAGAGAGAGAGAGATACAGAGAGAGAGAGATACAGAGAGAGAGAGATACAGAGAGAGAGAGATACAGAGAGGAGAGAGAGATACAGAGAGAGAGAGAGATACAGAGAGAGAGAGATACAGAGAGAGAGAGATACAGAGAGAGAGATACAGAGAGAGAGAGATACAGAGAGAGAGAGAATACAGAGAGAGAGAGAGATACAGAGAGAGAGAGATACAGAGAGAGAGAGAAATACAGAGAGAGGAGATACAGAGAGAGAAGATACAGAGAGAGAGAGATACAGAGAGAGAGAGATACAGAGAGAGAGAGATACAGAGAGAGAGAGATACAGAGAGAGAGATACAGAGAGAGAGAGATACAGAGAGAGAGAGATACAGAGAGAGAGAGAGATACAGAGAGGAGAAGAGAGATACAGAGAGAGAGAGAGATACAGAGAGAGAGAGATACAGAGAGAGAGATACAGAGAGAGAGAGATACAGAAAAGAGAAGAGAATACAGAGAGAGAGAGATACGAGAGAGAGATACAGAGAGAGAGAGATACAGAGAGAGAGAGAATACAGAGAGAGAGAGATACAGAGAGAGAGAGATACAGAGAGAGAGAGATACAGAGAGAGAGAGATACAGAGAGAGAGAGATACAGAGAGAGAGAGATACAGAGAGAGAGAGATACAGAGAGAGAGATACAGAGAGAGAGAATACAGAGAGAGAGACAGCCACATTCGGTCAGCCAGTCAGCCAACCACCCACCCACCCGTCCAGCCACCCACCCACCCACCCTGCCACCCACCGTCCAGCCAGCCAGCCAGCCACCCACCCACCCAGCCGGATACGTATCACACATGTTCCAGTGTTGTTTCTCTTTACTTAGGGTATAGGTTATACTACATTCTGGCAGGATAACACTACCAGTGGTATTCTCCCATTCACTGTGTGGACAATACATAAAGATAATAGTAACATATGATACTGTATGCGATGTAAAATTTACAATACAGATTACTACCATGTATACATTATATACAGTACATTAATAATTAACCCTTTGTCTGTCGCGGCCGTATATATACGTCTTACGAGGTACCGTGTTTGACGTATATATACTCAAATTCTAGCTGCTTCAAATCAAGCAGGAGAAAGCTGGTAGGCCCACATGTGAGAGAATGGGTCTGTGTGGTCAGTGTGCACCATATAAAAAAAATCCTGGAGCACGCAGTGCATAATGAGAAAAAAAAAACTCCGACCGCTTTTTTTAATTAAAATGCTGACTTTGTGGTCTATTTTCGTATAGTATTTATGGATGTATTCTCGTTTTCTTGATCTCATTTGATAGAATGGAAAACATATTATAGAAATAGAGGTGATTTTTATTTATTTTACTATAAAAAAGAACCTAGAAATGGAGCTCAAAATAGGGGAAATGTTTGATTTTTGCCAATGTTCAAAAGTAAACAAATGATGCCATTGTCCAATAAATGTCTAAATAGCCATTCTAATATGCAGTCATGAATGGGTTGATGTTATTTATACAATTATTACAGTACTGGAGTAGTCTGTATAATAGTAAGTCTCCTATTTTTTGTTTGAATAAAAATTCAAAATGGAAAGCAAGAGTAATATCAGAGAGGCCTGGAGACATGACTGATGAGCAAAGAAAATGTTATTTTAGAGCCAGGAATGTCTGCATTGTTCATTCTGGACCTTATTTTGAAATTGTCATATTTTTTAGTTTTCGTGAAATTGGCCAAATTGCAAATTTCTGACCACATTATTAGGTAGTTGAAATTGGTAAATGGGCAGTTTCTTGTACTCAATCGATATAAAAAATGGAGTTCTAAAGAAATAGCTATGAGTTTGGGCGACTGGAACAACGGAATTAGCCGAAAATAGGGGGAAATCGCCGATTTGTAAACAGCGCCGAGGTCGCTAACTTCGTGAGAGTATAATTCCGTCAGTTTTCCATCAAATTTCGTTTTTTTGGTGTCATTACCATCGGGAAAACATTCTCTATCCTTTCATAAGAATTTTTTTTTTTTTAAATTTTGCGACACCAGGAGACACCTCAGGATTGGGGGTTACCTGGAGTTTACCTGGGTTGCGACAGTCAAGGGGTTAAAATATAACAATAGAAGTAAATTATGGTAAAAAGAATGAAATAATGATTGTACATTACATTACAGTATTATGTAGGTAGTTCATATAGGAAAGTTTTGACATTATGCTCTACCCAACATGTCGGCAATTTTCAAAGGTTCGACTTACGTCCATTTTGACTTACAACCGGTTGGTCGGAACCAAGCTTGGTCGTAAGTCGGATGGTAGGTGTATTACGTAATGTTTTCCCCCCACTCGGCAACCACACCTCCATAGCATGTTTATATGCTATGTAACGTGTTTCTTATATAATTTTGAAGAAATATCATAGATGGATTCATGAAAATGTTTATATTGATGTAAAATTAGACATTTAATGTGTCCAAGAGTGATTATTATTACATAATAGAGAGATGTGCTCATGGAGAATGTAAACAAACTGGGTGACCCGCGCCATATTTGAAAGACCACTTGCCGTAAAGAAAGTTTTGGTCATAATTTGAGATCACTGTATTAGTGGAAAGCTGTAAGGTGAAACACCGAAAAGTGGGGCCCTACTCTATTTATTTATTTTTAAACAATAATGTAATGAGTCTATACTGTAAGGTTTTTGAAATTCAAGATTAACTCTCTCAAAAGATAGATTCCTATTTTTCTGCATATATATACTCATTTTACCAACCTGAAATTCTGTGGACAGATTACGGATATCAAACAGCTTCAAGAGATGATCTCTGGATGCTGAGCACAGCCAGTTCCCATTGGCATTCCATTTCAAGTCCATCACTGTGCTTTTGTGAGCATGTCTAGAAGTTATGAAAAGATACAGCTTTAGTTTTTAACAAGTTTATGCATAAAGTTTTTTGTACAGTAGACATTCATAATTTGTGTATATTAAATTCCTGAAAACAGCTCTACCAGTGATTTCTGAGACTTAGAGAGTGAAAAATAAAGAAGACAAAATAGGGTTGCATTCCTCAGACTTCAAAAAATCAACAAATCTTTTTTACTATAATAATTTATTGAAAAATAATTTTCTACATAATTTTGTCAATGAGGATGCTCTGTGAATGAAAGGAAGAGCACAGGTAGCTAAACAATGGTACTGTATTTGTTACTTCAAGTCAGCTTGGTGATGTGTAACATCCCAAAGTAAGCAGAGAGGGTAGCTGAGGCTCCCGCTTCACACACGGAGGGCCCGGGTTCGATTCCCGGCGGGTGGAAATTCCGACACGTTTCCTTACACCTATTGTCCTGTTCACCTAGCAGCAAATAGGTACCTGGGTGTTAGTCGACTGGTGTGGGTCGCATCCTGGGGGACAAGATTAAGGACCCCAATGGAAATAAGTTAGACAGTCCTCGATGACGCACTGACTTTCTTGGGTTATCCTGGGTGGCTAACCCTCCGGGGTTAAAAATCCGAACGAAATCTTATCTTATCTTATCTATCTTACTAGGCCCAGATTGATGGCTGGGGTTAATGATATGATGTTGAAGGATGGGGTTAATGATGAGATGTTGAAGGCTGGGGTTAATGATGAGATGTTGAAGGCTGGAGATCTTGAGATGTTGATGCAACTTCATCAGCTGATTGTTGCAGAGCAGTTTGCAGGCAGGTATTCTGTCATATGCTACTAGTTTGTTTTACACTGCAATTCTTTCTACAACCCACTGATATTTTAAACCAGTTAAATCATCTAGAACAAAATAGACATTCATTTTTTGGACTGTGCTTCCTCCTCACACATTGTTTTATAGTGTAATAAGACTTTTTTCCTAATAAACATGCCATCAAGTGGAACATCTTCATTTTGTTTTTTCAATTCACATATTTAGTAAACCTTGTTTTGTTTAGCAATACAGACCTGTTCCTCATTCTTTTCACTGTGTCTCATTGAGGATTACTCATTGCACAAGCCTTTATCTTCATCTCATTATCTCAAATTGAATGAACCACTAATTCTTTAATGCCAAATATGTACTTGTATTGTCTCCATGATGTGTGCACAACCCTTCAGCATCTCAATTACTTCAAGTATTTTCGAAATAGGCATAGGTTCATGCATAATTTTTTTTCTTTGCTTTACCAGCATCATCTGCACTTTGTTTGGATGCCACGGCATCATCTGCACTTTGTTTGGATGCCACAGCATCATCTGCACTTTGTTTGGATGCCACGGCATCATCTGCACTTTGTTTGGATGCCACAGCATCATCTGCACTTTGTTTGGATGCCACAGCATCATCTGCACTTTGTTTGGATGCCACAGCATCATCTGCACTTTGTTTGGATGCCACAGCATCATCTGCACTTTGTTTGGATGCCACGGGGTGATGAAAAGAAGTTAAAACTAAGTGTTGAGCACTGAGCAAAAACAATAAGGCTACTTAGAATTTTCAGCAAGATGACAAAGTGAGCATATTTATTATAGTTAGGGAGTGAAGAGTTAAACCCACAGGATCATACAGTGCCTAAGAAATGGGAAGCAATCAAGCGTCAATTAAAGAAAGGGGAGAACAAGAGAAATTCAGTCAATCAAGAGCACCCTCACCAGCATCAAGGAACCTCCTTTGTGGGGATACAAAGCATACAAAAGGAAATTAATCCTTAATCACTTTAGGACAAAGACAAAATATACTTCTCTGCAAAGGTTACAATGTTTGATTACATTTTGTGTGTGTTGTTAGGTACAAAGAAAGCCACTAACATGCCGGGGCATTTCGGACAGACTAATAACTAATGCTTACAGACTACATAAGACTAGGCAGGAAAAAAGTAGTAGATTTTAATTATACATTATTTTCCTTATTACAACAGTGAGGTAGCTAATGGTTTACAGTAATAAACTATATAGTTGTGATGTAGCATATAAAAAATAAACATTATTACAATTTAGCACAAATAACAATAATACAATAGTACAATTACAAGGTTTTTTTTTTTCCACAAGTCGGCCGTCTCCCACCGAGGCAGGGTGACCCAAAAAGAAAATACTTTCATCATCATTCAACACTTTCACCTCACTCACACATAATCACTGTTTTTGCAGAGGTGCCCAGAATGCAACAGTTTAGAAGTATATACATATAAAAATACACAATATATTACTCCAAACTGCCAATATTCCAAACCCCTCCTTTAGAGTGCAGGCATTGTACTTCCCATTTCCAGGACTCAAGTCCAGTTGTATAAAATAACCGGTTTCCCTGAATCCCTTCACTAAATATTACCCTGCTCACACTCCAACAGCTCGTCAGGTCCCAAATACCATTTGTCTCCTTTCACTCCTATCTAACACGCTCACGCACGCTTGCTGGAAGTCCAAACCCCTCGCCCACAACACCTCCTTTACCCCCTCCCTCCAACCTTTTCAAGGACAACCCCTACCCCGCCTTCCTTTCCCTACAGATTTATACGCTCTCCATGTCATTCTACTTTGATCCATTCTCTCTAAATGACCAAACCACCTCAACAAACCCTCTTCAGTTCTCTGACTAATACTTTTATTAACTCCACACCTTCTCCTAATTTCCACACTCCGAATTTTCTGCATAATATTTACACCACACATTGCCCTTAGACAGGATATCTCCACTGCCTCCAACCGCCTCCTTGCTGCAGCATTTACAACCCAAGCTTCACACCCATATAAGAGTGTTGGTACTACTATACTTTCATACATTCCCTTCTTTGCCTCCATAGAAAACAGTTTTTGCCTCCACATATATCTCAATGCACCACTCACCCTTTTTCCTTCATCAATTCTATGATTAACCTCATCCTTCATAAATCCATCCGCTGACACGTGAACTCCCAAATATCTGAAAACATTCACTTCTTCCATACCCCTCCTCCCCAATTTGATATCTAATTTTTCTTTAACTAAATCATTTGATACCCCTTACCACCAATTCCATATATTACTTGCAACATCTCCACATTGCTCTCCTATCCACTCCATCATTTGCCTTTTCTAAATCCATAAATGCAATCAAAACTTCCCTACCTTTATCTAAATACTGTTCACACATATGCCTCAATGTAAACACTCCATCAACACATCCACTACCCACTCTAAAGCCTCCTTGCTCATCCACAATTCTACATTCTGTCTTACCTCTAATCCTTTCAACAATAACCCTACCATACACTTTTCCTGGTATACTCAGTAAACTTATTCCTCTATAATTTTTACAATCTCTTTTGTCCCCCTTCCCTTTATATAAAGGGACTATACATGCTCTCTGCCAATCCCTAGGTACCTTCCCCTCTTTCATACATTTATTAAACAAAAATACCAACCACTCCAACACTATGTCCCCCCTGCTTTTAACATTTCTGTCATGATCCCATCAGTTCCAGCTGCTTTACCCCCTTTCATTCTACGGAATGCCTCACACACCTCCCCCACACTCACATCCTGCTCTTCTTCACTCCTAAAAGATGGTATACCTCCCTGGCCAGTGCATGAAATTACCACCACCCTTTCTTAGTCGACATTTAAAAGTTCCTCAAAATATTCTCGCCATCTACCCAATACCTCCATCTTTCCATCTACTAACTCCCCTACTCTGTTTTTAACTGACAAATCCAATAGTTCCCCAGGCTTTCTTAACTTGTTTAACTCCAAAAATTTTTCTTATTTTCATTAAAATTTCTTGACAGTGCCTCTCCCACTCTATCATCTGCTCCCCTTTTGCACTCTCTCACCACTCTCTTTACTTTTCTTTTACTCTCCATGTACTCACTCTTCTTATAACACTTCTGCTTTGTAAATACCTCTCATAAGCTATCTTTTTCTCTTTTATCATACCCTTTACTTCATCATTCCACCAATCACTCCTCTTTCCTCCTGCACCCACCCTCCTATAACCACAAACTTCTACCCCACATTCTAATACTGCATATTTTAAACTATTCCAACCCTCTTCAACCCTCTCCCCCCACTACTCATACTTGCACTAGCCCACCTTTCTGCCAAAAGTTGCTTATATTTCACCCGAACTTCCTCCTCCCTTAGTTTATACACTTTCACCTCCTTCTTACTTGTTGTTGTCATTTCCCTCTTATCCCATCTACCTCTTACTCTAACTGTAGCTACAACTAGATAATGATCCGATATATCAGTTGCCCCTCTATAAACGAGTACATCCTGGAGCCTACCCATCAACCTTTTATCCACCAATACATAATCTAACAAACTACTTTCATTACATGCTATATCATACCTTGTATATTTATTTATCCTCTTTTTCACAAAATATGTATTACTTATTGTATGTGTTAATATTTAGTTAATCAAGCAGTTGTAAACTTTTTGGGGAGTTTTTGAGTTGCTTCAAACTGGCTATATGATTTAGCATAGTGTTGGTATGGTTAATTTTGGGAGATGAGATGATTTTTAAGTAGAACCCTAAATTGATTTGCATGCAGGGGACCTTTTGCTGTTTCAGGCAATGAATTCCAGATCCTCAGGCCCTTCATGTGCATTGAATTTTTGCATAAGGTGAGATGGACACAAGGGATGTCAAAGAGTGTTTTGTGCCTTGTGTTGTGCCTGTGCATTCTGTTGTAGTTGTCAAGGAGAGGTTTGAAAGGAGGATTTATATAGGAGTATAATGTTCTGTATATGTAGTAGGCACAATAATATGAGTGAGTATTTTGTGTATTAAGTAAGTTCAAGCTCTTGAAGAGTGGTGGAATGTGTTGCCTGGCACGGGAATTGGTAATCACTGGTAATCACAGCACCTTTTTGTCGGTTATTAATGGTTTGAGGTGATGTGAGCAAAGCATAAACCTCTGCAGACAACTAATTCAAGAGATAATGACCAAAATACATTTTTTTTTTTTCAACAAGTCGGCCGTCTCCCACCGAGGCAGGGTGACCCAAAAAAGAAAGAAAATCCCCAAAAAGAAAATACTTTCATCATCATTCAACACTTTCACCACACTCACACATTATCACTGTTTTTGCAGAGGTGCTCAGAATGCAACAGTTTAGAAGCATATACGTATAAAGATACACAACATATCCCTCCAAACTGCCAATATCCCAAACCCCTCCTTTAAAGTGCAGGCATTGTACTTCCCATTTCCAGGACTCAAGTCCGACTATATGAAAATAACCGGTTTCCCTGAATCCCTTCACTAAATATTACCCTGCTCACACTCCAACAGATCATCAGGTCCCAAGTACCATTCGTCTCCATTCACTCCTACATGGCAGACAACTGAAAATTTTATTACAAGATATCCACATTATGTACAAAACTATAAGACAGAAAAAATCAAATGAATTAACTGAGCTCAATACTTCAATAATTTTAGCATTTGTGATCCCTGGGAAATTGAGCTTCCTTAAGCACTGAGTACTTACAGCTTTGCCAAAGGCTGACCAGAGCGAGGATCCCAGAGTTTGATTGGTTGTTGGTTGTCTTTACTCCCAGATGCCAGCAAACTTTTAGATGGATGCCAATCAACACATTTAACATCTGCACCATGACCTGTGGGAATCAAGTTGCTTTAATGATGAACTTAAGATACACCTGCTTCCTATGTTAATGTAGCAGTAAAGAAGTACTTGGGCATTAGTCATCTGTTGTGGAGAGAATGCTTGGGGATTGACAACATGCAATAGGCAAAGCAACGCTTTGAAATAAGTTAAGGTACAATAACAGCAACCTCTAGGATACTACTGCATGGTGATTGCTGTATTACATGGGGTGCAAAGTTTACCATCACATCATGTGATGTGATCTTTACTAAGCCAGCAAGCAGTTTAAGTCAAATGACCAAAAGTTCCACTGTGTGGGTTATCACAAAAGTATGACCCATATCAGGAGAATATAATTTTTATTTTCATGGGAAAACACTAAAAGTATAAGATTCATACAGTGTCTGAGAAGAGGGAGACAAACAGGTTTGATCTAAGGAAGGTGAGGGTAGTTTCAATCCTCAGATCAGGAGTTTTTACCAGCATCAAGGCACTTCCTACCCCCCTACCAACATTTGAAATATTCTGAGAATTTTTTATAATTCTGACAATATACAACTACCAGCTCATAGTTTGTACATTTAACAGCAGAAAAACAAACTTTAACTGTCATAGGTTATAACACTGACAGACAGCTCAAGTTTCCATTACAAGAAAAAGCACATGACATGTTACACTTCAGTAATTATAAGATGCAAGATAATTATACTGAACGAGAAGAATAACATTAGTCAGTCTGTATATTTTATATTTGCATTTTTCAGGTAGTCAACACTCAAACCAAACAATCCATTGTTTTTGATCCAAGACTATTACTCAAGTTACGTACAGGTATGTAGATTTTACAAGAAATCTACAATACTGTATTAAAAATATCTGCTAATGCACTGAATTTTTAAATATATTAGTATTTTTTTTTCAACATGCTGGCCATCTTCCACCAAGGCAAGGAGACCCAAAAAAGAAACACTTTCACCATCATTCAACACTTTCACTATCATTCACACATAATCAGTCTTTTACAGTGGTGCCCAGCCAATATCCCAAACCCTTCCTTCAAAGTGCAGTGCATTGTACTTCCCACCTTCAGGACTCAAATCTGGCTAACCAGTTTCTCTGAATCCCTTCACAAAACATTACCATGTTCCCACTGCATCAAGCTCGTCAGGTCCTAAAAATCATTTGCCTTCATTCACTTCCATCTAACATGCTCACACATACCTGCTGCATGTCCAGGCCCCTTGCATACAAAACCTTTTTTACCCCTCCCTCCATCCTTTCCTTGGATGACCCCTACCCCTCCTCCCCTCCACTACAGATTATACACCCTCCAAGTCATTCTATTTTGTTCCATCCTCTCTAAATGACCAAACCACCTCAATAACCCTTCTTTTGCCCTCTGAATAATATTTTTGTAACTCTACACTTTCTCCCAATTTCCACACTATGAATTATCTGCATAATATTTGCACCACACATTGCCCTTAGACACGAAATCTCCACTGCTTTCAGCCTCCTCCTTGCTGCAGCATTCACAACCCATGCTTTATGCCCAAATTAGAGTATTGGTACCACTATACTCTTGTACATTACCTTCTTTGCCTCCATGGATTGTTTTGTATCTCCACAGACACCTCAATGCACCACTCGCCTTTTTTTCTTCACCAGTTCCATGGTTAACCTCGTCCTTCATATATGCATCTACTGACAAATCTACTCTCAAATACAGGTCAGCTATCACTAATCTGGCAATCAATTATCCAGTTCCATCAGTAATCTGGCACTAATTTCAGCTAGCATAATTTGAAATTTCATCATTATACCGACTCAAATCATTATACTGACTCAAACTCATCATTATACTAACTCAGAAATTGAGCAGATGGTTGTAAATCCACAGCAGCAAGCCAGTGGAGGAGAAAGCAGTGATGAAAATGAGTAAGATGTAGCAGGGAGTCTCTAATTATAAGTTAATTAAGTGTATTCTAACCTTACTACTCTGTAATCTGGCAAACTCACTAATCCTGCACACTACAGGTCCCAATGATGCCAGATGAATGACAGCCAACCTGTATCTGAACACATTCACTTCTTCCATACTCCCTCCCTCCAATGTGATATCCAAGGTCCCAGGACCGAAACGTTTTCTAATAAATATGTTATAGTGTTTGCTTACGTGTCTTTCTAAACCATCTACAACTCTGTTAGAAAACCAGTACTTACCTATGTCCTTTCTAAATCTAAATTTATCCAACTTAAATCCATTATTCCTGGTTCTTACCTGGTTCGACACCCTCAGTACTTTATTAATATCTCCCTTGTTTATGCCCGTCATCCACTTATACACTTCAATGATATCTCCCCTCATTCTACGCCTCTCCAGAGAGTGGAGATTTAAGGCTTTGAGTCTATCTTCATACGGGAGGTTCCTTACACAGTAAATCATTTTAGTCATTCTTCTCTGTATGTTCTCTAATGAGTCTATATCCATCCTGTAAAGTAAAAGGACACAAGTGCAACTAATGTGACATTTATTGTGGCAACGTTTCGCTCTCCAGGAGCTTTATCAAGCTTGATAAAGCTCCTGGAGAGCGAAACGTTGCCACAATAAATGTCACATTAGTTGCACTTGTGTCCTTTTACTTTACATATTGTTGGTAATTCTACCAACTTTATTATATCCATCCTGTAGTAAGGGGACCAAAACTGAGCAGCATAATCTAAATGAGGCCTCACTAGTGATGTATTGAGCTGTAAAATAACTTTTGGACTTCTGTTACTTATACTGCTTTAGAAATAAGGTAGTTGATGAGTGGAACAGTCTGCTTAGTAGGGTTATCGAGGCTAATACCTTGGGTAGTTTCAAATTAAGGTTGGATAAATACATGAATGAGAGGGGTTGAATATAAGTGGGACTTGCATGTGAGTAAATAGAATTATCAAAGCTTATTACTTGGGTAGAATTGAAAATTGGGTTGGGCAAATATTTTGTTAGTGGGATGAATTGTGAAGGACCTGCCTAGTATGGGCCAACATGCCTGCTGAAGTGTTCCTCTTTTCTTATGTTCTTATGTTCAACATAATAACAGAGGAACAGTGCAGCATGCCTGTTGGCCCATACTTGGCACGTCCTTCACAAATCCAGCCCACTAACAGAATAAATGCTTCCCAAGCAATAAGCTTTAATAATTCTATTTACTCACGTGTAAGTCACACTCAAATCCAACCCCTCTCACTCATGTATTTATCCAACCTAAATTTGAAACTACCCAATGTTTTAGCTTCGATAGAACCTAGGGTAGCTTTAAAAAGAGATTGGACAAATATATGAGTAGGAGGGGCTGGGTATGATTGGTGTCGTGGGTACATAACGTAAGAAAGGAGGAACACTGCAGTAGGCCTGTTGGCCCATACTAGGCAGGTCCTTCACAGATCCAGCCCACTAACAGAATAAAAGTACCCAAGCAATAAGCGTTGACAATTCTATTTAGTCTTGACTGTGTGCTAATGGAGTTACAGGATGCTGATATCGAAGAAATGCTGAACACTAACAATGATGCACCTGTTGTGCATTCCTCGAATGAAGGTGAAATTAGATGAATTATGATATATATATGTAAGCCGTAGAGTTGATATTAGCATCATACTGAAGTATTTTGTCGTGCCTCATAAAAGCAGGAATTCCCCTGTAACGGATTAATGCCATTTCAATTAATTTAAATGAGGAAAATTAACTCAGCATATGAACAAATCGGGTTACGAACAAGGTGGTGGTGACCTGTACTTAGCTCTGTGGCAGTGGTGACCTGTACTTAGCTCTGTGAAGACTTGTCTGTGTGCTCTCTGTGAATCTGAACCAAGATCTCCTCTCTTGAGCAACTCTACCGCAGGTAAAAGAGGAGCTTAGGGTTGCTAAGCTGGAGATACAGCGATTAACGGAGAACAAGAGGATTCGTAGTAATCCTCCTGTTGTGAGTTCTCAGGTTAAGAGGGGAACCTGGTCAGTGGCCGGGCAACATGGAACCAAGCTGAGGATCAAGAAGACTGTTGGAGAGGCAGAAACAACGAAGAACCAGAAGACTACTGTGAAAACTTCCAACCCATTTTCAGTGCTACCTGACAAATGTGGGTTGTCTACTGGGAATGTCACAACGAGCACCAAGGAAGCATTGGTAGACGTGAGTGAGACATCCCTTGAAACCCCAAAGAAGACCATCGAGAACGTAACGACGAATTCCAAAAGTGAAGGTAAGAACATTGTTTAAGTTGGAGACAGTCAGGTTAAGTTTATGGATAGGGCCTTTTGTCTTAGGGACAGGAAGAGGAAGCAGAGGGTATGTTTTCCTGGGGCTGGGATGGGGGATATTGTTAGCCGTCTGGACGACATCATGAAAGGTAATGGGAGCAATCCTATTATCTGCCTCAGTGCTTGAGGCAACGATGTTGGCAGATGTAGGAGTGAGGACCTGATTAGCAGGTATAGGTCAGCAATAGAGATAATTAGGAAGAAGGGTAGCAACCCTGTCATTTGTGGTAATTTGCCAAGGAGAGGAGTTGGAAATGAATGGTTGTCCAGGGCAACTGGTGTCAACTGCTGGCTGGACAAATACTGTAAGGAAAATGCGGCAACATTCATCGACAACTGGGACCTCTTCATGACAGAAATGACATGTATGCTAGGGATGGGGTTCACTGATCTAGGTCTGGGGTGGGGGCATTGGCAACTGCAGTGGAAGGAGCTGTTAGAGTTTTAAACTAGGAATAGTAGTGATATGGGTTTTGGCAGGAATACAGTGAAGTCCCTGTGTAGTAATATTATGAGTTCTAGGGGAACTAGCAATAGGCAGAATGAGGTGGATATTGGAAAGCCAATGGCACTAGGTGACAAGGACAGTAATAGGTTTAGTGGAAAAACAGAAATGAGCAGGAAGGGTAAAGAGAAAGGAGGGTCTTTAAAAATATATTATGCTAATAGCCATAGTGCTAGGAATAAAATGGATGAGTTGAGATTAGTAGCTAGTGCTGGTAACATTGATGTATTTGCCATCACTGAGAAATGGTTTAATTCCAAAAGTCGGGACATGCCTGCAGAATGTCACATTCAGGGTTTTAAATTGTTCCAAGTAGATAGAAGTATCGATAAGGGGGGTGGGGTGGCACTGTATGTCCGAGATCGCTTGAACTGTTGCATAAAAACGGGTATTAAGTCTGAAGTAACACACACAGAGACTGTCTGGATAGAATTTTCATAGGGGCATGAAAAATTGATTCTAGGAGTGATATACCGTCCCCCAAACTTAGATAGGGCCCAAGGGAAATTACTATGGGAGGAAATTGTTAAGACCACAAGGCACGATAATGTAGTAATTCTAGGGGACCTTAACTTTAGTCAGATTGATTGGAATTTCTTGACTAGGAATTTAGAATCAAATGACTTCTTAGAAGTAGTTCAGGACTGTTTTTTGAAGCAGTTTGTGACAGAACCTACAACGGGAAATAACCTGCTTGACTTGGTTCTGGCAAACAAGGAAACCCTTGTTAATAATTTAGAAATTACAGAGGAACTTGGCACTAGCGATCACAAATCATAAACCTTTAGCATAGAATGGAAGTATGACAGTAGAGATAATGCAGTAATGATCTCAAATTTTTCCTTAGCAGATTACAATGGGAATAGAGAACACTTATCCTCTGTTGACTGGGGTAACAAAGAGAGCTATCAGTATGACAGCTTTCTGAACACTATATATGCTGCCCAAAGAACATTTATCCCATATAAAGAAATTAGATCAAATAAAAATGACCCAAAATGGATGAATAATAGGCTCAAATATCTTTTAGGGCAGAAGAAAAGAATTTATAGATGTATCAAAAGAGGTGAGAGTCATCTTATGAATCAGTATATTCACATTAAGAGGGACATTAAAAAGGGGATAAGAAAAGCTAAACGGGAGTACGAAATTAAAGTTGCTAAGGATTCGAAAACTAACCAAAAAAGTTTTTTCCAGGTTTATAAAACAAAAGTTAGAGATAAGATAGGCCCCCTTAAAAAATAACTCTGGGCATTTTACTGACAAAGAGAATGAAATGTGCTTGATTTTAAATAATTATTTTCTCTCGATTTTACACAGGAAGACACTAACAATATCCCAGTAATAAATTTTTATAGTGGGCCAGAAGAAGATAAATTATGTAACATCACAGTCACAAGTGAAATGGTTATGAAACAAATAGACCGACTGAAACAAAATAAGTC